TCTTTCTTTCTTTCTTTCTTTCTTTCTTTCTTTCTTTCTTTCTTTCTTTCCTTTTCTTTTCTTTTCTTTTCTTTTCTTTTTTCTTTCTGCACTGCTTTCCCTTCTCTCTCTCTCTCTCTCTCTCTCTCTCTCTCTCTTTCTTTCTGCACTGCCTTCCCTCCCTCCCTCCCTCCCTCCCTCCCTCCCTTCCGCAGTGAGTCCAAGCAAACTCCATGCTTGAGCCTCCCTCTTTACCAGGCTGGGTGCTTCCCAACATACATCTAGGGTTTGGGAAGAACTGAAACCTCCCTCTCATAAAAGCCAAAATTAACAGAGCCACAAATGACTTAAAGGCTTCTAGCTTTCTGGTTATGTTATTACCTTCACAAAATGTGAACCAACTGAGAAAATATACTGTTCCTACAGGCCCATGTCAACATTTTGGAAATTGCTGTGGGCTTCATCATAAAATAATAACTATAATTGATGTGAGAGCAAAGCAGCCATACATCTAATCTCTCAAAGCAGAAGAAAAGGCATCAAACCATTTGCAGAAAGTAAACTGAGATGGTAAGTTGATGAGGCTCATAGCCAATTAATTTGTCATACCAGACACTCATATACATTTCAGACAAAACAAAACACAATACTAATCATGCCCTGTTTCTCCCTGGTTGCTCCCAGCTACCCAGAATGTCTTCTGCTACCTTTGGGATTTCTACCAGTTGATGATGTGGTCCCATTTTTATTTTTCTTGGCTCACTGTTACAATGTTTTCAAGAGAAGCCTGCAGCTGATCTCGATTTTTCATTTACTAAGAATGCATCTGGGTCCACATGAAGCCCAAGGGCATAGTGTAGAACTGAATACTGTCCTCAGTTTGCGTTGTATCCCATGTGTGATGCCAATATAATATTGCATTCTTGGAATTTCTTTTATCAAGCTACTAGTTCCAGAAGTAGATTAGATAGTACTCCTAAATACATGTAAGTAGAAATAAATCCTATTAAACACTACAATATAGCTTTCTTCTGAATAGACTTCTGTAGAATTGTACTGTTGGCCACAATGTTTATACACTTTTAAAAAATAAATTTAAAGAACTGCAACACTGCACCAGATTCATTTTCAATCTGAATTCCTATTATTACTCTTGTTAAGTCACCAATCATCACAATGTATTCTGGTTCTGGTTTATAATGGTTTTGTTTTAAACTGTGGCTAATGGCTGCAGAATATCACCATAATAATGTTCAGGTGTGTTTTTCACTAGTATCATCACTTGAATGAATGCATATCTTATTTCAGAAAATCTCCTTTGCATAAAACATACCTTTTGGGCTCTATAAAACTCATTAGAACAAATGTCATCAGCACATTGTTAGAAAAGCTTTCCACATCAGATTTTAGGCAGCCTGTCACCATATAAGAACTGGAAGAAGTATTTTCAGAGATTCTGAAACTTCAGTTCCCAGGTTACTTGGGAACACCACTGTTTATATAATTCTAATTTATATCCATGTTTTGGTGTGTTTGAGTTTCTCCAATTTCAAAGTGTATTGTTGCTGATTATCTCCAATTGAATGCCTGGTCTGATACTTTCTTGACTGCAGAATCAATATACCACAGAGAAAATGACTTTTACTGTCCTATAATCCACTCCTAACATCTATGCACTAAATATAAGTTGCCAGTATATAACCACTCCATCAGTTCATGAGATCATATAAGAACTTTACACACACACATGCACACACATATATATGTATGTATGTATATTTTCATGGGTACAGGTATGCAGGTCTTGGCGTGTTCGTGTATTTTCCCATCTAAGAAACATCTTGGCGATGTTTCGACGAGGTCCCACTCGCCATCCTCAGGCTCGTGCTTTCAGCTTCGTGCTTGTGCGAGCAAAGCATGATTGGAGCTACCGTCTCTCTATAAATACTGGTGGGGAGGTTGGCTGTGTTGTTATTTCTTGTTTGGTTGATGGAGTTGGTGTTTGCAAATTGGTTGGCTTTTTCGTAAGAACGTGTTTGGCTGAGGTATTGGCTGTGTGTCTATCAGCCTCCTGTGTTGTAACGACCTGGGTAATGGGTGGTGTGATGACCTTCTGAATTCTATTGTTGTGACATCCTGGGTCTTGTGCTGTAATCTCCTGGGTCGTTGGCTGTGTTGTAACATCCTGAGGTTTTGTGGTGTAACCTCCTGAGTTCCGTGATGTGATATCCTGAGTGGGTGGCTGTGATGTGGCATTCCAGGTTTTGGTTTGGCTCCGAGTTTGAGGCCTGGCTATGTGTTCATGGCTTGTGTCAGTTTGCTTGGTTTGGGGGTCAGGGTGTGTGGCAGCTGGTGATGCAGCCGTGATCTGGTTTCTAGACGGTGGTTGCCTTTTGTCTATGGGATGGGTTTGGGTTTGAGTCTGGTGAGGGAGATTGGTGGTGGCGTCATGTGTTGTTTTGGGTCCGGTGTTGGTTTTCGTGGCTGGGACTCGTTTGTTGATAAGGGCTAGTTTCCAGATGTCTGGTAGGCGGGAAGTGTCATCCCGTTTATTCATGTTATGGGGGTGTTTCTCTATTTCGATGGCTTCCCTGATTATTCTCTTGTTGAAGTGTTCACTATTGGAGATTAATTTGGTTCCCTCAAAATTAACTTCATGTCCTGTGGCTTTAAGGTGCTGGAAAAGGGAGGAAGTATTTTCTTCTTTTCTGATTGCGTTCTTGTGTTCTGCGATGTGTGCATTTATTCTTCTGTTAGTTTGTCCAATGTTTGTGGCTGGCTAATTGTTGCATGTATTCTCAAAGTGATTTTCATTTCAATAAACTCTACTTCTCTAATTAGTGGCAGATGAAGATAGGAGACCCCTAAAGCTTAGCATAAACAACAAGCTGTCTGTTTGTAAACTACATGGCTTCCTCAAGCTGGTGCAGTGTTAAATGTTTTCTAAACATGAGGAGGAGGAGGAGGAAACGGAAACAGAGGAAGAGAAGGAGACAAAAATAGACTTTCACTACTGAAGTACCTTGACCACTGAATGGCAAACTTTTTCAGGACCTTTCCTGAAGTTCTGAAGACCAGAAAATGACCTTTCTCATCATGTCAAGCTGTTCCTCCTTCTTAATAAAGCAGTATATTTGTGATAAATTCTCTCAAAAATAGTCATTTATTGGTAAATTCCAACACTGAATATAAATATTTTTTTCTTAACACTGACTGACCTAAAATTATTAATGATTGCTTATATCTATTCTGGAATGGAGAATACTGTATTTCTAAGAGGGCATTTGCAAACACAGAGACTTACTGTACTACATTGTTGTATGATATGTCATTTATAAGCATAAATTTCTCTGTTAGTGGCCATCTTGAAGAATATGTTACTCTGTTGTTGAGAATCCACACTATATCCTCTAGAGCAGGCTTGTCCAACCCGCGGCCCGCGGGCCGCATGCGGCCCAGGTCGCCTCGTAATGGGGCCCAGTGCCCACCCCAACCTTCTGGCAAGAGCCAGCGAGGAGGAGGAGGAGGAGAGGCAGGCGCGAGGCGGGGCGAGGCGAGCGCCACGCCAAACAGCAACCGAAAAGGCGGGCGCCGCCTTTGCTGCTTCTGCCCCTGCCGCTTCTGCCCCTGCTGCCGCCCCCCCCTGCCGCTGCCGCTGCCACTTCTGCCCCCGCCGCCACTTCTGCCGCCGCCGCCGCCGCCACGTCAAACTCAAGGCCCATGGGCTGGGGCCGGTCCGTGGGATGCTTAGATCTGGCCTGCGGGGCTGCCCTGGAAACAGCAAAGGACCAGCCCATGGTGCCTCTGCCAGCAAAAATGGAGCTTTCCAAAATGGAAATGAAGAACCATGTGCGGCCCACTCGGGGTCCATTTTTGCTGGGAGAGGGTTGCAGGAGGCCATCGCAACTGAAAACGGAACTTGGGAACCCATTTTCACTGGCAGAGCGCTCAAACCACCACAGGCGCCCCCAAAACAAGTGACATTGAGCTGGCCATGCCTCCTGGCCAACCCCCACTCTCCTGAGGTCAAATACAACCCTAATGCAGCCCTCGATGAAATTGAGTTTGATACCCCTGCTCCAGAGAGTAGTTAATGATGATTTCAAGGCAGTAATGTGTTATAGTTTACAAATAGTTTTAGTGTGGCAAATAGCCACTTCTCTAAATTTATCTATCTATGTATCTATCTATCTATTCAAAAGAAAAGATAGGCAGCTAATTTTACTACCTGGAAAACAGCTTAATCCAAGAGCTTGGATCCTTGACATTTGAAATGGCATACTTGGAAATGTTGGCAGTAATACTGTTTAAAAAATACTTTGCTGCAGTATATGAAATCTGAGCTAAATAAAGCTATCAGGCAAACTGTTGAGCATTGGCCCATTTTGGGCTGATTAAAAATAAACAAACTTTAGACTCTGAGATTTCTGCTTTTCTTCCCATCATAATTAAGGCAAGCATAGCACATTTAAACAAAGATAAATACTATTATCCTCTGCATGATTTTTGAAACACTGCATTTGGCCAAATTATAAGACAATGCTCATCAACACATAACCTTCTAGACAACTCTTAATTCACACAATAATGCATTCATTCAGTTTGAAAAGGAATGAAGGGAGAGTTTGAATCAGTAACACCTGGGAAAGTGCCAGTCAGCCATGCAACAGCCATGCCATTCCCCCTTTTTCCTTCATTCCTTTCAGCATTATGTATCTCATTAGGGTTCTTTAGTTTTTTTCAAAAGATATTTTACTGGACTTAGTACAAATCTTTGGCAACTTTCCTGAACATGCTGGTTTCTGCCTCTTGTTTCACAATCAACTCGCTTGGGTTCAATCTTACAGAGCAGTGTTTCTCAACCTGAGCAACTTTTAAGATTTCTGGACTCCAACTCCCAGAATTCCCCCGCCAATATGCAGTATGGAGGTGAGCTGGTGGGACTTGGTGATGAAGAATATCATGAGACCCTCCTTAATCAAATGAGAACAATAAATATCAAGACAGATTGTATCACCAACCTGAGCCTTTGTAGATGTCCATGTTAGCAAGGCATGATAAGCAAAAAGGAGAGAAAACCATATATTCATTAGTTTGGTGCTTTAGGAGTATATTGAAAGATATTCAGCAAAGCTTTGTATACAACATTGAAGTTTCTATCACAAGGGAGGTATTTAAATCCTGCTTTGCTCCATCTTTCTGCCCCAAGACACACAGGCAACTTCTGTGAGATTATAGTGAATCTCTGTGAATTGCTACTAAGTTTTTTATAAAGGTGGATTCTTAAAGGAGAAATTATTTCTAAATGTCTCTAAAATGCTTGTTAATAATTTTGGGAGTATGCCAGCACAAATTCTGCCCAATAGCCAGGGATGAAGATCTCTATATCTTCCAAAAAAGGAAAATTAGAACCTTCCTTATAGATGTAGTTAAGGGGGGAAAAATTACAGCTAACTTGTTTGTGATCTGAAAATTTTGCATATCTGTAATATGCAGCAGTAACCTTTTTATTTTAAATGAATGCTATGAAATATAGTAGGGAAAGCCCTTAAATTTTTTTTTTAATTGATTGGATGGGGCTCATAGTAGAAAACTTATCAGAAACTTTCCCCAAACTCTGCTTTTGCTGAGGTTTTTGGATGTGTCTTAACAGTGCCCCAAAAATCTCTTGAACACATCTTGAATGAGGATATCACTGTGCCACAAAGCCTCTACTTTCCTTACAATAAAAGGGCTTTGAAGAGCCAGAGGTTTTGAAAGAGCATGAATGCTGAAGTAGATAAAGCAAACAATTGCAAAGAACCTAAAAGAGGGTGTCCCAGAAAGAGGGGAAAAAAGATCACTTCAGATGTGCAGTAATGGAGAAAAAGCAGTAAGGAGAGACAGATGAAAAGTAGAAAGGAGAATTCTTAAGGTTCATGAAACAAAATAGTGAGGTGTGAAGAAGAGGAATGAGATGAAGGAATGGAGAAAAGAAACAGCATGCTAAAGGGAAGAAAAAAAGAGGTTGACAACCTTTGAGTTAAAACTCCTGAAAGACAACTGCTGAAAAGAAAGGAAAGATTAATTTTAAGGAAGTGCTATTAGAGGAAAGGAAGCACCAACAACAAGGGGAAATCAATATATTAATACTCAGCATCTAAGCCTTGAGAAGCTTCATGTTTCTAAGTATATAACATGCCAGTGGAAGGACATTCTGAACTATTTTATTTTAAACTACTATTGTGAAAGGAATGCAGAAGTGTCTGGGATCTACGAGGGCTATCCACAAAATAGATTACATTTTGCGATAGAAAAAAAACAAAGTGTAGGTAAAAATGTTTATTATATACACTTGAAAGTGACACTTAAATACTACCTTTCAACATATTCACCGAACAAATTGAGGCACTTATCATAGGGGTGAACAAGCTTTGTAATTCCATTGTCATAAAATTCAGCCGCCTGAGATTTGAGCCAGTCAGTCACACCCACCCGCAGTTCCGCGTCGTTGTCAAAGCGCTGTGTTCCAAGCCATCCGCTGTAGGGCGGATGGGGAAAAATCTCCCACTTGAAAGCATTCAGGACTTCTCGAGTGCCATAGTTCGGCCATTTTTAAACTTAATGCACCACTGGCGCACTCCACCTTCAGTGATGATGTTGTCCCCGTACACTTCACACAGTTGCCGAAAAATTTCAATCGGTTTATGGTTTTTTGCCAACAAAAACCTTATCACTGATTGCGCCTCACAACTCGCGGGATTTTCAATTGCAGCACACTTTTCAAACGTTTGCTGTGAAATAACGGGCAATGATACGAACCTGCCACTAGCACGACTAGATGCAGACTGAGCGGCGGATGCACAGACCAAAGATGGCCACGCTAGCTCCACCCCTTTTTGCTACAGACGAAAACATAATCTATTTTGTGGATAGCCCTCGTAACTACTGCATTCTAGTAGTTCTAACATATTAAACCACGTCCAGTATTTTCTGTTCTAAATGATCACCTAATGTTAAGAGATTGCTGAAAAATAAAAAGCATTTTAATTCCAATCTGCTAACTATGATGCCACTGGGTATGTAAAACTCTGCTTTGGTACATCCTTAAAGATAATTAACAATGACCAGCTATTGAGAGGATTTCTGGGGCAGCAATGGTGGACTGAAGTTGGCTCAGCAGAGAGTGGAGCCAACAACAGAATGAGCAGCTGAATTCCTTGGAATACCTCTCAGGAGTAAGGAGAGAATTTGGGATTGACCAAAAGCACTCCAGTCAATGTGCCAAGACATTAAAATTATGTTGAAAGCAAATAAAGATTATACAGGATGAAGTGACCTGTCTATCGAACTTCATTGAAGTGGGATATTATTTTTAAGCATTCTGTAAAATGTTATGCAAATTGAATGTATACTACTACCCCTTACAGAGAAAAATGTTGCATACATGAAAATTTCTCCACTACCAGAGTTTTAGTTAGTATTGGACACTGCCCTACTATATAGGCCAGGGGTCCCCAAACTTGGCAACTTTAAGATTTGTGGACTTCAACTCCCAGAATTCTCCAGCCAGCTATGCTATGCTGGCTGGAGAATTCTGGGAGTTGAAGTCCACAAGTCTTAAAGTTGCCAAGTTTGGAGACCTCTGATTTAGACTTTCATTTCTATTTACAACAAATACTTAATCCTTTTTAAAATCTACAATATATTTTACATCTCTCTTGGAAAAGTAAGATACTGATTTTTCCAGATCATCTTCCATATATGATTCAGAAATGCTTGTTGTTTAATAAAAATTGTCTGTAACTGAAACAAAAAGAGATTAAGGATTTTTTTCACTTCTCTTCTTTATTATTGTTTTTTTGTTCTTTACAAGAAAACTAATTTTTGGATCCACAGCCTGCAGGAAAAAAACACCCTGATTATGTAACACTTGAAGGGGAAAAAATCTTCTCTCTCTCTCTCTCTCTCTCTATACACACACACACACACACACACTTATTCATTCTTATTAATTTTCATGGAAGATAGGCTGCCTTGACTTGGAGAAAACTACCTGTCCTTTATTTTCAGTATGATCCTTCCAGCAATCCAAAGATGACAAATCTATATTTATTTAGCTGTGCCTTTACTACTGGAGAACATTTTTTTTTGGCAATTTTGAATAAGGTAGAAATAAAACCCAGAAAAGATCCAAACTAATACTGCTAAGATTCCTGTTTTTATGCTAAAACCCTCGTTTTCAGCTGTAGTGTTAGTGAGGGAAGTAAAAAAAAGAAAAAGCAGAAAAAGACCATGGCAATCCAGTCTGAAATTGCTGCCAAGAAAATCAATTCAGGAGCTGAACTTGAACTTAAATATGTGGAATCCTCCCAGGCTTTCTGTTGCCAGGCCCATGCTTCAATTCCGACATCCTTTAATTGCTCAGTCCCTCCATGCTGCTACTAATTCCACTACCCTGATCGCAGTGGGAAAGAGGGCAAGACTTGGATAAGGAAAGGATGACTTCCATTTGTGTGCCCCCTTCCCAAGCCCAATTTGCACTGCTATGAACCCATCTCAAAGCGGTACGGGTTTCTTAATTATCGTCTCTTAGCAATTGTCCTTCACCTCTTTCTGCAGACATTAGTTCTCCTGGAATGCTTGCTAAGACCTCAGTAAGAATCAAGGAGGCCTTAATACTAGGAAATATTTTTTTTCTTCTTCAGCTTCTTCCTTACCAACTGCAAGCAATAAGATATGACAGTGACAAACAACCTCCACAAAGCCTTACCAACTAAATCAGAATAACAAAACCATATTGAGTAATGTAATTTTATTGTATTTTCATCACGTGCTGACATGGTCCTGGAAAGAGATCTTTCTCTCTTTTTTTTAACTTGTTGCTATTGAAACTTTATATTCATCAAATATATTGATAGAGGAGGTAGCAGGGACATTGAGTTAGTCAAAACCAATTTTTATAAGCCAATTACTTTGAGCCTGTGAGCATAAATAAGACGAGGATGAGAAAACAAGGGCACCGAGCCAATTTGCCAATTATCGTGATGCTGAGAAAGACTCCAAACCCCCCCCCCCCCCAAAAAAAAAAAAAAAACTAATGTGAAGCTTAAGATGCTGTTTCACAATCATCTGGAAGAACTAGTTTGTTTCTAATCCCACCTACCTTAAAAAGAGGAATTTTAGATGGAAAGAAAAAAAGATACTGAAATGGATTATATGAGGGTTTAGGGTGGGGCTTTTATGTTACGGGTTTTTAACGTTGTCAGCTGCTGGGGATCACCTACCTATGTGTGAGTTGGGCCGCCATACAAATTTGCTTAATAAATAAGTAAATAAATAAATCGACTATACAAGTAGAATGAAGCAGCCAAGCTTCTAATCATTGACTAGTAAAGAAGACTAAATTGTGGAACATCTGTTCTTGAAGCGCTGCATAATATTGACTAAAAAAACCGGATACATTAAATACAAAACATTTAATAGGAATAACAATCATGATCATCACTATAAAAATAGATTTAATTTTAAAAATCTCATAGGTGCTCCACTTTTTAACGAGGCATTTCTGAGCAGAGATCCTTTTATCTTGAAGTTTCAATCAGCAAAAAAAAAAAAAAAAAAAAGCACTGCCAGCCTACTCACCAATGCATGAGATCCTGGCTTAGTTGAAAGATTTGCTCTGGTTGCTAACCACTTGATGGACATAATTTAAAATTTGGGTTTCAGAGGCTAGAAAATCAGAAAGATAGCCTCACTGTCAGAAGTCTGCTTGTTGAAATGGTGACAAAGGGGCCCTTCCTTTTCACTCCCAAACGATGAAACAGCTCTCCTTTGTCTCCACTCATTCTGTCTCTAGAAAAGGAATTAAGGTGTACTACTTTTTCAACCCGATCTTTAAGTATTTAGTATTTATATATATCTTAGAATTACACTGTAACTGAGTTTATATTTTTATCAGTGTACTATCATCATCAGTCTATTTGGATTCAAAGGTGCTAGATTCAAACAGTCAAACAAACAGATGTAATAAAATTATTGGTATTTA